CCTTCCTTCCTTCCTTCCTTCCTTCCTTCCTTCCTTCCTTCCTTCCTACCTACCTACCTACCTACCTACCTACCTATCTATCTATCTATCTATCTATCTATCTATCTGGTTAACAGAGTTGGAAGGGGCCTGGTAGGTCATCTAGTCCAACCCCCCACCCAAGCAGGAGACCCTACACCCTTTCTGACAAACGGCAGTCCAGTCTCTTCTTGGAAGCCTCCAGTGATGAAGCTCCCACAACTTCCTGAAGGCAAGTCCTTCCGCTGATTAGAATAACAGAATAGGAAGGGACCTTGTAGGTCATCTAGTCCAACCCCTACCCAAGCATTCCTGCACCATTTCTGACAGGTGGTAGTCCAGTCTCTTCTTGAAAGCCTCCAGGGATGAAGCTCCCACAACTTCTGAGGGCAACTTCTGTTCCATTGGTTGATTCTTCTCCCTGTCAGAAAGTTTCTCCTTATTTCCAGGATGAATCTCTCCATGATCAGTTTCCATCCGTTGTTCCTTCTCTGGCCTTCCGGGGCCTCGCCAGGAACTGAACCTCCTTTCTCTCTGCAGGTGAACAGGGCTCGGTTTCCATGTTCCCCCTCTTCCTCCTGGATCACAGCTTCTCTCCCCAGAAGCTGGGCTTCTGGAACGGGATCGTGGCCACCACCTTTTCCATCGCAGGCTCATCCCTGGGGGGCCAGCTGATGTCCGAGGGCAGGTAAACCGTGAGAAGCCTTCAATCTCTCTCTTCACTGGGATCGCCGGGATTAAAATCCGGCACCCCCCAGGAGGAGGGATGGGGCAAGAACTGTCCCCTTTCTTACACCATCGCTCTCTTCCTCTCTCGTCTTCGACAGCCGCCCAGGAGGGAGGGGGGAATATTCAGCAGGCCTGAATTCTCTTTTCCAATAAAGGAGAATGCTTATAAGGTCAGGGTTGGCATGAGGGGTCCTTGGTGCTCTCTTGAGCTTGGCTGTTTTCTTGCAGGCGTTTCATTACCTGACTAGGTAACGCCATCCATTCCAGAAGGGAGTGGGGACGGCTCTCTGTTTATATGCAGTCCCTTCTAGCACAGATGATGTTACCTGGTTGAGTAATCAGACGTCTGCAGGAAAATCGCCAAACTCAGAACCAAGGACTCCACAGTCCTCCTCTTCCTCCTTCTCCTCCTCCTCTTCCTCCTTCTCCTCCTCCTCCCCCTTCCCCCTCCTCCTCCTCCTCCTCCTCCCCCTCCTCTTCCTCTTCCTCCTCCTCTCTACACTCTACTCCCTTCTAGCACTGATACTGTTACCTAGTTTGGTCATGAAAAGTCTGCAAGAAGACAACCCAGCTCAGAGAGCCCCAAGCAATTCCTCCTCCTCCTCCTCCTTGCACTAATGATGTTACTAGTTGGATAATGAAACTCTTCGCAAGAAAACTCCCAAGCTCAGGGCCCCTCTTTTGAGAATCATGGGAATTTGTTTCTTCCCACCACCACCCTCTCCCTCTGCCCCTCCCCCCCAAAAATTCCCAGAACAAGGGGGAGTGGGGGAAAGTGCTCTGAAATTCCAGCAGAATAACTAAAAACCTCTCAACTTCCCTTCTGGTTTCAGGGTTTGGTGACACCCTCTTTCCTTCCGGTTTCCAGGCAGAGGGCTCTCTTTCTCGCGTCCTGGGTGCAAATTCCGAGAATGGTTCTCTCCCCCCCGACCCCTTCCCTGCCCAACCGTCCTTCCCCCTCAGATGCTCGTCCGCTTCCATCCTGACCTCTCTGGCTCCTTCCCACCAGGCATTCCGATTCTCTGCAAACCTTGTTGGTCCTTCGCTTCTGCAACCTCCTTTTCCAGACCTGGGTGATCTTGGCCTACACCGACCACGCGGCTGCCTTTGAAGGTGAGCCGGGTCCCATCCAGGGCAGTAGCCATTGGTCCACTGGCTCCAGAACCGGGGGGGGGGGGGCCTTCGGCATGCAGGAGTCCCCAGCGGTGGTGGGATTCCAATTTTTTTTTTACTACCGGTTCTATGGACGTGTCTTGGCTTGGTGGGCCTGGCGGGGGAAGGATATACTGCAAAACCTCCATTTCCTCCCCGCCCCGCTGACCTGCTTTCCAGCTCTGTTCTCCTGTGCAGGGCAACCCAAGGAGACCCAGCCAACCAGCTGGGACTCCATGGGAGGCGGTGAAGAGATGGGGTTGGCGGGGCCAGTCGGAGGTGGGATTGGCCGGTTCTCCGAACGACTCAAAAGTTCCGCTACCGGTTCTCTGGAACCGGTCAGAACCAGCTGAATCCCACCTCTGATCTATATCTACCTATCATTTCTATCTGTCTATTGTTAATGAATATCTATCATTATGTATATTGTCTGTCTGTCTATCTATCTATCTATCTATCTATCTCTATCTATCATCTATATTTA